ACATGCACACAGTGTACACGCACACATAAAAGCAAATGCTCATCCAAATTCCATTGGTGTCTCACCAAGGATGCGGAATATGAGATGAAGCTCATCCTCCACAGTTGATCCAGGGAAGAGAGGTCTGCCTGTGATCATTTCATAGAAGATGCAGCCCACACCCCTGGAAGAATAACAATAAAGTAGTACAAAATTATAGTGTTTTAGTCATCTATTATGCAGATTCAGGCTGCCAGGGGATGTAAATCTATAAACGAGTTGCAAAGAGGTTGTTTTTATCTAATGCATAAGCAAAAGATTTTTAAAAATCTAACTTTCTCCAATTCTATACATAAATATGAAAAAAGAACCTTTTTAATCAAATTCTACAATCTTTGTGTCCTAACATCCATACAAAGTATTTAAATGCTGATGAAAGACAAAAGAAACAACTCTACTCTGAAATATGCTGGTACCTCAGAAGTGACAGCTGCACAAACAATGAAAATGGGCAGTATTGATAAATGTGTCCACTCACCACATGTCAATGGGTGTAGAGTACTCAGTGGAGCCCAGCAGCACATCTGGTGGTCGGTACCATAATGTCACAACTTCATTTGAGTAGGTCTTCGTAGGGACCGACTTAGCTCGAGCCAAACCTGATTTTAAATAGTGAGACTAGCTCATAAAAATACAGTTTTGTAATGTGGGCCACCACCTGTGAACCTGTGAGAAGATGTCTTATCCAAACTCTGTAACAGCTTTTCAACTTTGCATAGTGTCGTAGTTGATGAACTTTAAAGTTTTGTGTTCTATGACATAGATCAATTCTTGTTACATTTTTAAACTTTACATATTTACTGTTTATTTTTATAAAGTACAAAGCTTGCTATGCACAAGGATGGGCCTTTAAATTGCATAAAAATGCATTAAATATAATGAATACATACATTAAGGAGAACAGAAACTCAAAATACAGAAAGGCAGAATAGTATCAGGCACAAATAAGATACACAATACCTGAAAAAAGATCATGCATAAAGCTAGCTTCCATATGAAGTGATATGGAATTAATGAAATATCATGTTACAACTTTTACCAAAGGAGGGGAGTGTTGGGTAATTACTCCAAACTATGTTGTTTTGAGTAGCGTGACCTTTAGGAGTTGCTAGTGGGACTCGTACTTGTTTGTGTTAGGGTGTATATAAAAGGCTACTGGGTTCTAAAAAACACACACACACTTATCTCACTCTGATGGATCCATGTTGCGTAAAAATACTTAAACATGTGGACTGGAGGAGGATTGATCCATCCTCCTCCACTCCACACGTTTAAGTATCCTTGTCCACATGTTTTTTGAGCCTATCTTTGAAAACTGAAATAATCAAAATGAGACAAAAATAATATTTTAAGTAATTAGCTTGTGAGAACCTTAGAAAACTAAGCAATAAAGGAACTTTCAGCATATTATACAAAACTATCTGCCCTTTAAGTTAATGACAAAGGTGACATACCAAAGTCTGCCAGTTTGAGCTCTCCTTTTTCATTGATGAGCAGGTTCTGGGGTTTCAGGTCTCTATGGAGGACCTTCCTCCTGTGGCAGTACGCCAGACCTCTTAAAAGCTGAAATAAGAAGATCTGATGTGGAGAGAAGAGGATGTAAACAACACAATCAGCCACCAGACACATTTCCATTTTTCAATACTGACCGCTTGTAATACTCTAGATTACCTTAACGTTGTGAACGCTCATGATGCTCCCACAGTCGTCCATATATTGCTTCAGGTCTTTTTCCTGATGAGAAAGAAAGAAAGTGCTTATCTGTAGTTTCTGGTTTCATGTAACTCACACATTAAAAACAAAGTGACACTCACCAGATACTCAAACACGAGTGTTAGGCACTTGTCAGTGTGGATAATGTCATGGAGAGTGACAATATTGGCGTGCTTCAAGTCTTTCAGTAGAGACACTGGAGGAGAAGACAGATTAGACACTGTCAGTCAAACAGAGACAAGCTGTGAGACGTAACACGGCTCATACTTCAGTCACAGCCCGTGGCGCTACAAGACACTTTGTCAAGTTTTTGTCTGTATGTACAAGTGTGCCATGTTGACTTTGGAGGTGTGTGTTTCCAAATCACAACTGTTTGTCAGTACCTTCTCGGATAGCGGTGCAGGGTGCGCCCTCCTCGTGCTCTAGGCGGATCTCTTTCAGGGCGACCAAGTTATCTGTTAACTTACTTCGCCCCTTAAATACTGTCGCATAGGTCCCCTGCAGAGATGTAAAAAAAAAACAGTAAATGAATGAGTAAAATACAGTGGATGAACACTTTGTTTGCATTGTGTTGCTTCTGCTGGTGGCTCTTTATTGACCTCACCTCTCCTAGTTTGTCCAGTTTGATGTAGGTTTCAAGTTTCCCAAAGCCGATCTCAGACTGTGGAGGACAGAGAGAAGGCGTTTGAGGAGGCTGGCAATGACAGGTCAAATCTTGCTTTTGCACAGCCTGATCGGAGACTGCATCATACTTAATTTAACTGTCAGCCTCACTACTTTTGAAATCTCTCCGACAATTGCAGGTTTCTGAGTCACCAGGCCTTTTTTTATCCTGTAATGTGTACAAATTACAGGGCTTCTTGAGCAATTTTTAGGATTATTCTGTATTTTTGAGTGTGATTCATCTTGAGCAACAGTCTGCAGACATAATATTTTCAAAAGGAAAAGGACAAAAATATCAACATTTATCTAGAAATCTGCATCTCTTCAAAGGTTCTTTAACTGTCATTACTGGGAAGGTGTGACGTAATTTACAGATGCACATATACTGTTTGGCCACAAGGTGTCAGTGTAGCAAAGATAATCAAATATGGCAACTACGTTTTTATATCTAAACATTTTTATAGACTATAAAGATGTGGAAGGTAAACACTGCAGAGTGATAACTGAAATAAACCTGAGCTCAGTTATACATGGTTAGCTGTATAATGTATGTGGCTCCTGGGTTTTGAAGTCATGAATTATGGATGGATGTCGCTATATAAAGCTGTGATGCCCACAGGTCTGTCAGGGTTTATGCCTGTCACTTGTTTCTCAATTTTCCTCAATAATTTGTCTAATTGTGTGACGTTTCCTTTACATTCCTTATAATGAACACACTCAACCCTCTTAATTTAGTCTGTCCCATCGTGACAATCGTACAAAGTCCCAGGCCAATGCATGTACGTATGCGTGTGCGAGGGAGGGGGAGGGTCTCCGGTGACCAAGTTAGCTGTTGAAGCATGTGATGTCTTTAAAGGCATGCCTAGAAAAAACACATCTGAATAAGCTCGGATACAAGATGGCATACTTACACACTGAGACAAGTGAGTGTGGTCATGGGTAAGCAGGAGTTTAAATGTGCAGAAGTTGTTAATTACCTGACACATTCTTATTTGTGTATTTAAATCAGTGCTTTTATTTGTTACAGGTCAATTTCAGCCCTTCAAACTCACAAAAAAGATGAAAGAAAGACATCAATCAGAGTAGATATATGAGCTTTTATGTAAAGCAGGGGCATGTACTTTATAATACATACACTTAGACACACTTTATGCTTAAACGTAAATCTAACACAAAAAAACACCCACACACAAAGACGTTATTGCCACCTCCCTCACAGCTAACCCCTGTAATAACAATCATATAATAAATCTTGCCTCGTGAAGGAGTGCGTGCACACAGAAAGGCGCACCTCTCTGCTACCGGTGTGCAGCAGCGCTCTCCGACTGCCTTACCATGTTTTTCATAAGTGTGAGCTTGTGCGCCTGCGTATGCTTTTGATGGCAATAGGTTCATTTCATTCCCATCGCTCTAGCGAGCTTACTCAGCAGAACTAGGTCAGGCCAAGTTTTAGTGACAAAACTGAAGTAAGATAAAACCAAACAATATGTGAGTGCAAGTGCCTTGTCTCAGGCTGCAGGGTAACACAGGCTGATGAACTCATAGTACAAAAAAAAATGCAGGATGTGAAATGTCTGCAAGAAGATATTTATTGACAAAGAAATCAAACGAATTATCCATATTTCACTTGTAATTACAGTTTCTTTATGTGGTACCTAGAAGAAAGCTTAAGTTTGAGAGCGAGGCTGGATTTATAGTATTCAGTGGGAAAGCTAAAATGATAGCCTTCTGAGAAGAGAAGAGGTGGCAGGAAATGAGAGGTGGGAAGAAAGACGAGGCCATTCATTAACACGAAGCTTCCTCAGAACTATAATCAATCGGCCAATAAACCAGCTTGCACTGTCACCATGTTCATGTAAACCTGCCAACAGCAACAAAAAAGAAAACCGAAGGACTGCACAATACTTAGCAGTCCTTTTGGCTTTCATCAGTTGACAGTTACATCATATGTGACTTACAATGAAAACACAACATGAGCAAAGAGAGAGGGACATAATAATAGGCATTGAAGTTTTTTTAGCTCAGTGTTCTGTTGCTGTAAGGTTGAACGGGTTCGTGGAAAGAAGTGAGTGCTGCATAATATGATTAAGTGTTGTGCTTCGAGATAAAATGACATCTCGCTCCACAGTGCCATGGAACACTGAGTTTCACTGGACTGCTGTGAATAATTGATTACCAATGTGCAACAGCCATGAGCGAAAACTGATACCGACTTCACTTGCATTACACTGGCAACAATTCGACGCTCAAAACACGTGATTTCAGAGTCTGCGATAGAATACCGGAAACATGATCTACATTACCGTAACATATGACAAGCGCACAGGCAGCCCCGAGGCTATTACATCAGTTTTCTCAGAAACATTTTTTCCAAACATAACAGGATAACTGGTATTGCTTGTTGCAACAGGAAATACCACAAAGGAATTTTTTTAAGCAATTTGGGAGGTGTTTGTTTGCCTGTCTGTGGACAAATTTTGACTTGATAGCATCACAACTCCACAGTAAAAATAAAGGCTGAGAACCAAGAAAGGTGTGGTAAAATCCACAAGCACTCAGGACTCATGTCATACCATTGAGTACCCATGGGTCATCGCAGCCAATGGGATTCCTTCACTAGATAATCTCTAGTTAAACTTAAATCTCTTGTGAAACCATTTATTTTAAACATCTTTAGCTCCTTTTAAATGTACTTAAACTATTTCAGGAGCAGATGAGCAGTGAATGAGGAATTTTTGCAGGCTAATTCATTTCATAGCACAAATTCAAAGTAATTAAATACCGTACATACTGTGCAAACCATGTTCAGACTACTGCACGGTCAGAAACACACTTTTGCATGGATGCATTACCCTATATAAAGGAACGACCAGGACTAATAGAACAAAAACAGTCTGGCTGTGATGCATCTTCTGAATACATGGGCTGCAAGCTCGGCAGAGTGCTCGGGATCAATCAAAACCTTGTTTTCCTGGTATAAAACCTAAATCCAGCTACAGAGTGGCAGTAATGTTTCCATTTGTCTTTACTTACATTTGCTTAGCATTTTTCAGTTATCCATGCCCTTTTTAAACCTGACATCTTATCATTCAAGCCCTTTTAGTCCTCTCTTTCCATCTCCTTTTGTACATTTCCTTTCTCTTCCGTGTTCTCTAGCTCATCCCAAGGTGTCCTGGGGTGTAATCCCAGTCAGGAGAGGAGCTGCAGCAGATGAGACTGACACTTCTGCTGAATTATTGATTGATCTATTACATCACACACATACAACAACTCCAACAATACACAGCACCACACAGCTGGGCAAACCCAACAAAACGCACACTATACATCTAATATATATGACTATCCTCTTCTTCTGCTCCACCCTATACCATATACTTCCCCTCAGAGACTCTTTGCTTTCAAGTCTGTGAGCCTCCTGCAGAAAAGCTACGTCATTAAGTTGCTTCAAGCAGAGAGATTGAGGCGGGCAAATGGACCTGTTTGATAATAACAGCAAAAACGGTTGATGGAGGATGAGTCCTTCATATTTTCCCAAAGAATATCAGGCTTTCAGTAATCTTGTTTAATGTAATGCATTGACTAAGTACACTGAATTCCCTTTAAAACTAAGCAAGCCTGTGGCTGGAGTGAAACAAAGGGCACCGCACAATAATGTATAACAGGAAACTTGAAAGTTGGAGCGATGGCAGAAACAAAACCGTAATTTGGAAAAAAAAGTGTGACCAAAATAAAAACCAAGTGACAGAGCAGGGGCACTTCAACAATTAAAGGACATGCTGCATATTCATGAATACAAGCCTATTTCTTTCCCGAACAACCCCTCCTCTCACTGCCAGACCCCAATTCATACCCATAATGCTCTTGGCCTGTATGCATAATTCAGAATCTATCATTCATGCCCCCTACTGAGGCATTGTAAGCACTATAGCATAGCCCAGTGTGTGTTTAAAGTGAGTCTATGTTTGTGTCGTTGCTCTGTGTGTGCGTTTTAGACAATAATGGCCCTGGTCAAGCATTTAAGTAGTGTACAATGGCATTGAAAGCTTACATTACTTTTGTTTCTACACAAAGCAGCATGAAAAAGGGCAAGCACACACCCAGATAAAATGACAAAATGACATCAGAGACTAGCTTCAACTGCTTTGCACACATATATATATAGATGCAAATGTGCACACAGATAAATTAAGTACTGACCAATGATGCGCGCCGTAGCCTGCGGCTCATGGGTTTGTCAAAGGGCGGGCTGTTCATGGCAAACTTCTCCAAGTAGCCCTCTGGTAGCCTGATATCAGCTGGGAGAGACAAACGTTTGTTTATGTCCTAAAAGAGAAGAACAAATAAACAAAAGGAGACATGAAGAAACTGAAACATGATTTTCAATATTAAAAACCTTTTTCCATTTACAATTATACTATAAAGACATTAGTCCTGAAATATTCAGGATATTCAGTACCTTTTAAATTTGGTTTGGTATGATATGTCACAAAAAAAGATTTACAAATGCGCATTAAATAAATCTCGTTCCTTCATCATTTATCAGCTTGTTATTACTTCACCTTAATTAACCATTATGATCTGGTATCAAATCAAAGCTTTTTTTCTTTTTAAATATTATTGGTTGCTTGTCTACTCACAAGCAGCTTGCTCCATCTGTCTCTCCTGGCTGCGAGTTTGTCAAATGAGAGCAGACCTTTGGTTAACAGGTGCCATCTGCTGCTGTGAATGACTGACGAATGATGATGTGGATAACACCTATACTCGCTATGGCTGAATAAGATGCCAGTGCAAGACCACCACATGATCAGGATAAATTCCAGCTAGTTACTGGCTAGTTTTGGCTACATTTTCATAATGCACTATTAGCATTGAGTTTGCATGTTTTCCCCATGTCTGCTTGGGTTCTCTCCGGGTACTCCGGCTTCCTCCCACAGACCAAAGACATGCCAATAGTGGGGTCTAAATTGCCCATAGGTGTGAATGTAAATGCAAATGAGTGTCTCTCTTCAAGATGAATGACAACTGGGATAGGCTCCAGGCTGATCTGCATTTCTTTCAAAATGAAAGCACGCTTGATATTTTTATCTTTTACTTTTTTTGCTAATTAATTCATGTTGTAGTTCTTTTTGACTTCAATTGCTAAGTGCAGCCTCTCCCTCTGGAAGTGTTTAGCTTTAGACGATCACATTTTAGACACAATTTTAGGAATTAAACATCATCATATATTTGAGTCAGTGTTGTTAACAGCTTCTAGCCACTGCAAGAACTTTCACCTTCCAGTCTTTGCTGGAATGCAAATTTCTGTGACACGATCACCGGCAAGGTGCCAGTCACACATTGTTTCCATGGCAGCAGTAGTTAGGTGACCCAGTCAAAACACCCCTCAAGTGTGTGTCCTCAGTGTGAATATGTAGTGATACGTTTGTTTACATGTAACCGTGCAATAGGAGGATATTAAAGTGTGTATTTGCCTGAAGATGATATGTAGAGGTACTGTATGCCTTTAATAGTTTTATCTGAGCTTACTGGCTGACATCACAACATGCATGTCACATGAAAAAAGTATATATAAACTATATGGATGGCGACAACTGACGAATCCTAAAGCAACGCTCTGCATGTTTTAGCAGTATATGTGAGACAATGTAAACGTGAGCCACAGTCGCTTGCACAGAAATGCCTCCTAGCTGTAGTTAGCACATTTGTAAGCTCAACTTAAAATTGGAATCATAAAAGAGAAGAATACGTGTAAGCACTACAACACCATATATAGTGTTAGACATATAAATACAAATGACTGCAAATTTCATCAAGCAAAACATTTGATATTTTATGCAATTTATAATGAAAGTGACACCTCGTGATCACAACAAAAGTCTTTCACACAAAATTCACTGTCTTTCAAAGGCGTAACAATAGACAAAAGTTCACAAACACAGCCACTCCTGCCCTCTTATTCACTGGTAGAGACTGAATAAAGATCTAAATACAAAACAAAACATGTGTGCCCCCGTACTCACAATGCAGAACAGCTCTAGTAGCTCCCTCATTGTCCTCCTTAAATGTGTTTTTCTATGCACTTACACACATGCGCTTTGAACGATGCATGTCTCTAACCTGATACATGACTGCACACACTGAGAGAGAGAGAGAGAGAGAGAGAGAGAGAGAGAGAGAGAGAGAGAGAGAAATAGAGTGAGAGAGGGCTGGCACTGTGGTAGAGTGCCATCCACATACTTAGGAAAAGGAGTTGGGGGGGGGTTGGAGGGGGGGGATGCAGGAGCAGAGGAAAAGAGGAATAGACAGATTCCTGAGGGGAGAAAGGCAGATGGGGGGAAGGGGTGAATGGAGGGGGTGGCACAGAGAAAACATTGTTTTTTTGTTCTCTCCTGCCATCATTTTGTCCTCCATCTCTTCTTTACTTTCTCTCTTATCATCTCCTGAGCCCTATTCTCCTGGATCTCCCTTTTCTTTGTCATTGCAATAATTACACCGACATACGTAATTACTCTCACCCCAACATTTTCCTCTCCCACACTGCCAATCCATCTCCTTCTCTTTCTTTCTCTCTCTCTCGTAAACATGGTCTAAATTAGTCCCATCCACTGCTCACAGCAGTGAGAGGCTCTGTATCTAGAGGCATTTCCCGTAATACTACTGTGCTCAACACTCTGCAGCTCCTTCAAACGGACACACGCAGCCTGACCGAGACATGACGGCACTCAGAGATTCAGCAGCAAACAGCAACTCTATCTGTCAGATAGCACAGGTGCACTCGCATATACACACAAGTTAGTGAAAATAAAAAGAGCCTGCTATATTTTTCTCTCATAAATGTACAGTTGCAATAATAGATGTTCAAAATTTAAAATATTGAGGTCACTGAATACATACAGTACACAAATACTTAACGCACAAATACTTAAATACACATGCAAACACATCCGTAATTACTATATATATATATATATATAT